AAAAAAAAAATTTTTAAAAAAAAAACAATGCTAAAGTCCAGAAGAATGGATGCTCCAAGCAGGGCAACAATAAAGTGAAAAGGAAAGAAAAGGAATAAGCAACAGGAAAATAGTATAATGACATAAATAAGTCGGTACCTGTCAGTGATAATCAGCAGTAGGAATGGCCTCAATTTGCCAGATTAGCAGATGGATGAAAAATGAGATCCCACAATATATTATATAAAAAACCTAAACTTTGTTTAACCTAAAAAGAAATACATAGACTAAAATGCAAGAGAAGGGAAACAATATTCCATTCAATGGGAGTCTGTAAACAAACATGAGTAGCTAGTATGTTTTCAGAAAAACTGAATTTTAAGCCAAACTGATGAGAGGAGGAAAAGAAAGTCACTACACATAGGATAGGGAGCCATTCAGAAGAAGAGACAACAGTGTTAAACATATATGCACCAAATAACAGTGAATGCAACTTCATAAAATAAACTCTAATGGACATAAGACAATCAAGTAAATATCAATACAATTATAGTGCAGGACCTCAAACTGTTTAATGAAATTGAAAAGGGAGGAATACTCCAAAAGTCATCTTTGGAAGTTATCATTACCCTGATCCTAAAACTAGATAAGGATCCAACCAAAAAAGAGAATTATATAGGTCAATCTCTCTAATGAAAAAAGATGTAAACATTTTAAACAAGATTCTGGCAAACAATCTGGCAGAATGAGATTGAAACAATTCTGACAAGAATGTGACAAATAATCAAAACAGTCAGCGCACCACAACCAATTAAGCTTCATTCCAGGATGCAAGGGTAGCTTAACATATAAAAACAATAAATGTAATCCAACAAATAAACAGACATAAGGACAAAAGCCATGTTATCATCTCAATAGATACAGAAAAAGCCTTTGATAAAATCTAATGTCTTTTTATGATTAAAACTTTGATTAAAATAGGCATAGAAGGCAGAGAGTCCAGGCCCGGGCTGCCACTGCTACCTCTGCTGCCGCCATCACCTTGTTCCCCACCTCTTGCCATGGCAGAAGAGCTCTCCGTGGCTATGTCCTACACCAAAGATGATTTCTACTGTCCTTTCTGTCAAGAGGTGCTGAAGATGCCTGTGTGGACCGTGGCCTGTCAGCACATTTTTTGTAGAAAATGTTTGCTGACTTCAATGAGAGAAAGTGGGACACATTGTCCCTTGTGTCATGGAAATGTGACTAGAAGAGAAGGAGCGTGTCCAGAATGGGCCTTAGATCTTGAAAGCATCATGCGGAAATTTTCTAGTGGCTGCAGATGTGGTGCAAAACAGATTAAGTTTTATCGCATGAGACATCATTACAAACCTTGTAAGAACTATCAGGATGAGTATGGTGTTTCTTCTGTCATTCCACACTTTCAGATTTCTCAAGATTCTGAAGGGAACAGTAATAGGAGTGAAACATCCACATCTGATAATACAGAGTCTTACCAAGGTAATACAAGTTCTTCTGACCATCCCACCTTTAAGTGTCCCTTGTGTCAAGAGTCTAATTTTACCAGACAATGCTTGCTGGATCACTGTAATAGTAACCACCCATTTCATGCAGTTCCTGTGATATGTCCTATTTGTGTGTCTCTTCCTTGGGGAGATCCTAGCTCAATTACTAGAAATTTCATAAGTCATCTAAATCAAAGACATCAGTTTGATTATGGAGAATTTGTGAATCTTCAGTTAGATGAGGAAACCCAGTGTCAAACTGCTGCTGAAGAATCTTTTCGAGTAAACATCTGAAGTCTAGACATCCTTGCATCTTTTTACCTGCAAGTGCCATCTGGAGGGGGAAAATTACATGAAGTCATTGTCTCAGTAACCTGATGTGTATATTAATAAAAGTACTTCAGTCTATTTAAGTTTTTTAATTAAATAAAGGTGGGCCACCTAACAATTTTTGTCATCTTCCTGACAAGTTAAGAAAATGAAAGTTACAATATTACTTTAAAAGCATGAAAAAAAAAAGATCACTAATGTGGTGACAAGGGAATCCCTGTTGTACTTTATCTTTTTTTGTATTACATATGATTGGATTTTTCATTTCTATGTTGCTTTTGTTTCATTACTATGCTGCTTTTGAAATTTGGTGCAGTTACTCACTATTCCTTTTTTGTACGTAAGTAACACAGTAGCAAATTCTGAAAGATGCAATTGATGCAAGCCTGACAAATCTAAGCCAGTTGTCAAAGTTGTAGAATGGAAACTTGAAATGCTAAATGGAATAGTCCAAAGGAAGTTTTTAAAAACACATTCTTGCTGAAGAATTCAACTATGAAAAAAATTGTATTTATATAATGGTTAGTATTTTTGAAAACGAGTGAGATTTTTCTTTAGCAAACTTTGAAAAATGTAAGGTCATTGTAAGGATGTTATCTTTTTTACTATTAGCAGGAAACATCAAGACAAAAATGTATTTCTTTGGTGAGCAGCAGCTCATTTCAATCTTGTTTGACTAATTTGTATGTCTCATACATCTCAAGCTGTATAGCAGTTCTTTGGCCTCATAACTCTGAGTAGCCAGTGTTTCTCAATAACTAAGATCAAATTTGTAGTACAAACTTTCAGGTGATCATACATTCTACAGGTAAGTAGATATTTAAATGCATTCAAAGCTGAAGACATATATGCATACATTTTTATATACATGTATAACATACATATCTCTGCATGCAGTTTGTCAGATTATATACATAACCTTACGTGAAAAAAGATAGATTTGCTGATATTCCATACTAATATACAATGTTTATGCTTTCTTTAAAATAAATAACTAAAAAACTTTAAAAATCTCAGAAATAGTTTGCTACTAATATATACATGAATTGTATAAAAAGATATATTTTGGTTCTCTTAAAACCCTTGTTGACTTTTCTATCATGAACATTTTTTAAAACTTGATTTAATAAAAGTTAATTTTGCAAAAAAAAATAGGCATAGAAAAACCTTATCTCAATCTGATAAAAGCCATTTATGACCAACCTCTATAATGAAAATTATATCACTCTGTAAAGGAAGATTGAAGAAGACACCAAAAAATGAAAAGGTGTCCCATGTTCCTGGATAGGCAGACCCAGTATAGTCAAAATGGCCA